AAAACCAGATTAAGGCAGTATGACACAATGGCATAAAGCAGGAAACTATAAGACAGGCATTCTTTCAAATGGAAACACCAGAGATCAATCACGTGGCTTCCTTGTCAAACATCATACCACTGCCTAAGATAGAAGGAAGCCTAAAAGAAATTAAACCTAAATTCTTCATCAGGAATATCTAGGGTAGTCTTGGTTCCTTGTGCTGACCGAAGCCTACAGACTTTTCGGCTCTTCCTTCTGCAGGCTTCACCTACAGGCTGCACCTGTGCTGAACGGACAGCTGTGGAACAAGGGAACAAGATCATCAGAACTTAACAAGAACACACCGTACTATCATTCCAGCTGCTCTTTACAGATTAACTTGACATTTCCCCAAAGCATGACACAAGTTATCATTCCCCATTCCAGAATCATGGAACTACTAAAGCTGTTAAAGCTATAAACTGACATTCCAGAAGTGAGCCCCGGTCACCTGACCGAAGGAGTTGCATTAACAGCATGCCGCCAGGACAGACACTCAAGGCACTGCCAGGAAATGCAGCTTCCTCAATCCTGGGTCACCATGAGTCAGAACTGACATGGCAGCAATGGGTTTAGTTTTTGGTTTGGTGCAGGACAACCATCCTTCCTCTCCCCCTAGGATCTTCTGTCCCTGCCTCCTCGGTCCAGGCTCCAGTTCTTGAGAGGGTGAGGTTCTTCCACTCTACCTGCTCTCCAGGATCTCCTAGGCAGTCTCATTCCCTCCATCAACCCTATTATTCTGGATTTGATCCTTACTTAGACTATGTCCCCCGCCACCCTTCACTATGCCTTTCTTAATCAACCAATTTTCACTTCCTCACCAGCTCTGATGGCTCGAAGAGTCTCCTGGTGCTCTTCTTCAATCTGCGCTCGGTAGTCTCCAAAGAAAGAATGCATCAGCTGCCTCTTCCGGGGCAGAGGAGTCTTTTCACTGCGCAGTAAGCGTATTGCCCCGGTAGCTTGCTCTTCTGTAGATAAAACCAGAAGCCACCAGTCTTTTCTAGTTATAAACCCAAACAGCACCTGCAGACAACAAAACTGTCCCGCCCTCCCTAACCCTTAATGCTAAGGAAAGGTCTCTCACTCTGTCGACGGTTAGGCTTCTGGGTCCTGAGGCCGAGCTCCAGCTGCTCTATACACCAAGCAAGTTCCCTGGCCAGTTGCTCTGCCTGTGGTGGAGGGACGCATTGACTGTGAGAAGGCACGGAAGGCCCGGGGGGCCCAGATCCTATTCTGACTCCAACCCAGGATGACCCCCAAGCCCAGGGCATAGCACGCTCCTCACTGATCCGAGAGTATGTCTGTCTCCCCCGGCCTCGAACCCTGAACGCACTCGGGGACCCCCAGAACGTCCGGAGGGGACTCACTCTTGCCTGGGCCTCAGTGTCTGCAGGAAGTTCCTCACAGCCGGACTTTTCGGAGGCCGCTCTGCTTCCACCGGCCACAGAGGACCTGTTCCGAGATTTCTTCTTCTTTTGCTTCTTAGACGTTGCATCGCTTTCAGAACTCACAGGGCATGGCCTGGTGACGCTGTCACTGCGCATTGGATGCTCTGAGCAGAGACCGAGGGGACGTTCCAACGGCAAGGTTGGGGGAGCAGCAGGCGGAGGTGTGTGCGGCGCGCGGGCGATACCTGGACCCTCCGATGTACGCAGGGCGTACGGAGGTGAGAACACGGACCAACTGGCGGCGCCAGCAAGCCGAGGCACACAGCGAGCCCACGTGAACTGACGCAGGCGTGTACACAAGCCCAACTCCCTCCCCCGGAAACGCGTCTGGAGCGCAGGGTTCCGCCCCCGTGCGCGGCCTAAGGTGCGCTCCGGAACAGTCCTCAGAGCACTTCCTGCCTTTCGGGAATCGCGGGGTGGGAAGCAAGTCTCCTAGCACATCTGGGCTGCTAGGGTGGGAAGCAGCGCTCGGATCGAAGGCTTGACAGGCGTTTCAATGAGGCTGATTTGAGCCGCAGGAGGACTAAGGACTGGGAAGTTCCAGAGTCCAGAAGGACGGCGGCAGAGGGCGATCGGGGCAAGAGTGAGCAATGATGACTCGAAACCCGACCTGAGGGCCTGTGAGAAAAAAGTGTTCGTGTTTTAATGATGGATGTAGATGACATAGTGCCCGTAGTCCAGATAGTCTCAGTATCTTGTCTGTCTGTCCCGCGACTTACAATGCATCTCTATTTGCCTGCTACAGGACTCGCTTTTCATTGTATCTCAAGTAGCTGAGACACCTTGGATAAAGTACCTGTGATCGCTCACTTGGATAACGGTCTGTTTCCTCCCAACCAGGCTCTTTGTTCCTGCCCTTTGCTATTGCCCATCTGCGACCAGTTGCTCAACCCAGCAGCCATAGCGGTTCTCTTAGAATATAAGTCATATCTTGGGAACACTACGCTCAAAACCTTGCAATAGATTCCATTTTCTTCCAAAGCAAAAGCCAAAGTTCTTGGAGCAAGTTAACAAGCCCTCCATCCTCTGACCCGTTAGTTACGTCGGCCTCGTTGTGCTTCAACCACACTGGTTTCTTGTTGTCCCTCAAACACAGGGCACCACCCACCTAAGGTCTGCTCCTTGGAGGCAAGGATTCTAAAGCTTCCTCTGACATAGTTTGGACATGTTGCAAGAAGGGACCAGTCCTTGGAGAGGGACATCACGCTTGGGAAGGTGGAGGGACAGCACGAGAAGATGACTTGATTCAGTGACTGGAGTAATGGGACTAGGTGTGTCGGAGACAATAAGATTGGCACAGGGTAAAGCAGGATATAGGGCTGTTGTACATAGGGTCGCTGTAAGTTGCAAGTGTCTCGACAGCACAAAACAACTTTTGGACATGGAACTTTTTCCAGAGAACTGCACAGTTAACTGTCACATCCTTTGCAAATACAGCTTTACCAAGTGGCCTATGAAACCGATTTCAAATTGTAACCTGCCCACTTGCGTCTGACTTGCTTTCCTATTTCAAGTTTTTAAATGAATGACCTATTGTTTACCCTAATAGGTTCTCTCTCTCTGTACACACACACTCTTTTGACTATGCTATGCCATAGCTATGATTTATGTTCTTTTTAGGCCAAACTGTATTGGTTTCCCATGACCAAAATTAAGTGTTCTGGAATTCCCTTTCTTCTTTTTTTTTTAAATTTTATTTTATTAATATTAATGAACATTTAAAGATATTTTGGATTTCCATTCACTCATTGTTGCACTTTTCTCCCTGCCCAGCCCTCCCCACCCAGTTCGCTCCTCTCTTGAAAAGAAAAAGAAAAATTCTTTCTTTGGTATACAATCCCCACACCCCTCCCACCTCCCTGAGTACACTCCACTATACAACCTTAATTTTGGACTCTTGTAATAACCATAATACCTTATCATATAACGCTTTTAAATTATTCTGTCCCTCATCTGTTTCAATGCAGTGCACATAATTTATCCAGTTTTTCTCAGTCTTACCACAACCCTGATGTTAGTCCCATTCTACAACAGTGGTACCATGCAGTATTTGTCCTTTTGTGATTGAGATATTTCACTCAGCATAATGTCCTCCAGGGTCACCCATTTTGAATAATATTTCATGAGTTCCTTGTTTTTCAATGCATCATAGTATTCCATTCTGTGAATATACCACAGCTTCTCTATCCATTCGTTTGTTGATGGGCATCTGGGTTGTTTCCAACTCCTTGCTATTGTGAACAAAGCCATGATAAACATGGGTGTGCATGGAATTCCCTTTCTTCTTATTGTTAGCTTCTTATTGTTATTATCCACACAAATTCCTTTGAATAGTCAATAAAATAAAAGTAAACAGGTTTCTGGTATTCTCAGCTTTCAGCCAAAATCTCTCACATCGGCAGTTGTGTCTCTTGTGCTACAGCCTATTCTGAATCTAGCTTGAATTTCTGGCTGTTCACTGTCAATTTACTGTTCCAAATGTTTTTAAATAATCATCAGCAAGATTTTACTTGCATATGATGTTAATGATACTGTTTGATCTTCAAAGCATTTGAAGGAGTAGTGCTTACTGGTTTGTTTGTTTTGGTACTGTCGAATCAGATCCGACTAGCACAGGAGCAGATTGCCCCTCTATCTCCAGCAGAGCATCTGTTGGATTCGAACCGTGCAGCTTTGGGATTGCACCGCAGCTTCTTGCCACTAGGAAAACCAGAGCTCCTTTGTTGTGTAATTGATTTTTATACAGATTCTAACAAATATAAAATTATTAAGTGCAAGTTCCCTTGTGATTCTGCTCAGAGGGACACTTAGGAGACTCTCAAATCCCTTTAAAGCTTATATGTTGTTGTTGTTGTTGTTGTTGTTGTTGTTGTTGTTGTTGTTACGTGCCGTCAAGTGGCCTGCAACTCATAGCATTGACATATAGAGTTGTCAAATTATGTAATTTTAATTTCATTTTCTGGCAAAAAGTTACACTCATAATAAATATACTCATTTGCAGTGTGCAATTTTTTTTCAATTAACAATTGTACACATGGATTTATACCTTTATTTTTGTATGAACAGAATAACATTTTATAATTGATGAATGTTTATATTGGTTCTGGTTCTTTGCTGTCATAGCACTCTTTTTTTTAATTTCATTTTATTATTTTTTGTGCATATACCGTCAAATCAGATCTGACTGGTACAGGAGGAAATTGTCCCTCCTTCTCCAGCAGAGCATCTGGTGGATTCTGGAGTTTATGAAGAAGAATGTGGCATCAGGATTGGAGGAAGACTCGTCAACAACCAGCATTATGCAGATGACACAACCTTACTTGCCTAATGCACCTACTGCACAAAGTCAAAGACTGTATTTGCAATATGAATTGTATCTCAACCTCAAGAAAACAAAGATTCTTACCACTGGGCCAGTTGGCATCATCATGATAGATGGAGAAGGTTTTTGAGATTGTTAACAACTTCATGTTGCTCAGTTCCACAATCCACACTCTTGGCACCAGTAGTCAGGAAATCAAAAGACAAATTGCATTAGGGAAATCTGCTGTCAGGAAAGGACAGACAACAGAGCTATTGTGCATAGGGTCGCTATGAGACCCAACAGCACATAACAACATCAGTCATATTAAGTTAGCTTGCCCAAGAGCAAGAAATAATTATATCGTCTTCTATGCCATTTATTAGAATGTCAACATTTTCTCCATAGAACACTTGCATATTCTTTAAGAATTCACCAAAGTTTTTTATTTTTTATCACTATTGTGGAAAACACTTTTTTTTTTAAATTGTATTCTTTTTACGTGTACCGTCAAATCAGATCTGACTGGTACAGGAGGAGATTGCCCCCTCCTTCTCCAGCAGAGCATCTGGTGGATTTGAATCGTGTACCTCTGGGATTGCAGTGCAGTGTCTTGCCACTAGGCCACCAGAGCTCCCTTAAACATTTTTATTTTGTATTATGGTATCCAATTATTGTTTGTGCAGAGCAATGCCATTGGGACTTTTAAGTATTAAGCCTGTATCTTTTTCTTGGAATATAATTTACAATAGGTCTCATTGAGAATGAAGTGTTTACATTTTCACTGCTTAAAAGATGATCTAATGTTCTGGCTAAGGCATTTGTTGATTTAAAAGTTTTCTAATGAATGTTTTTTAAATGTATTTCTAATTTTGATAAGAAGCCAAACAAGGGGAAAGAAGCTGTATGTAGTAATGAAGCTGAAAAAAAAAATTTAAAGAACAGCTCAGGAAGACAAAGCAAAGTGTTATGGGGACATGTCCAAGGAATGAAAGTTAGAAAACCAAAAGGAAGAACACAGTGACATTTCTCAAAAATAGAAAACAAATTTAAATTAAATTTGAGAGTCATAATAATGAAAGAGTCATAGTAATGAAAGGTTCTATGGGAATATCTTGAATGACACAAGAAACATAAAAATAAGACGAAAGGAATACACAATCACTGTACCAAAAAGGATTAGTTGATAACTGAATGATTTTTTGAAATAGCGGGTAATCAAAACCCAATGCTAATGAAGGAAGAAGTTCAAGCTACAATCAAGACATTGACAAAAAGTAAGTACCCTGAAATTTATGGAATACCTACTGAGGTGCTTCAACAAATAGATGAAGCTCTATGGATGCCAAGAAATTCAGAATACAATTATCTGGGCAACCGACTAAAAGAGATCTGTATCTGTTCTCACTTCCAAAAAATCAAACAGAGTGTAAACATTATCAACCAATAACATTAATATTACTTACATCACATGCAAGTGAAACCTTGCTTAAATGACTGGAATATTGCATCACTGGGTGCAATATTAGCTTAAGAGCTGGCGTTTCTAGCCATTACGCTAAACCCCTCTGGTGTCCACCTACCTTAACTGTAGACACATAGTCTTGAAAATCATCCACATCTGTGGGACTAGGATAAGAAAAAGAGTGCTTCCCACATGGGGCAGCTAGGCTTGAGGGAGACTGGAGTAAGACCCATGGTGGTTAGACCCTGATAATCATCGTGGAGAGTCTGGGAAATTGCTGTGGAGAAACTGTGACAAAGTGTAACAAGAATAGCCCTGGGATAAAGGCTA